GCCGTGGCCGGGCCGGCGGCGGGGGCGGAGGGTGCCCGCCGGGCCGGGGCTTGCTCTGGCGCTGCTCCTCTCTCGCTTCTGCTGCAGTGAGTGCAACTTTCGATGGCGGCCGGGGCGGGCCGGACTTGGCGGAGTTTGGGGGAAAAGTTTTGTGGGCGGCGCCGGGCGCGGGGGGGCGCGTCGGGGCAGCGGGTGCGGGGCAGCCAGTGCTGACGCGTGTGCGGGGAGCGGCCGTTGGGAACCGTTACTCCAGCGTTCTGTGCGTGGGGCAGGAGCGGCCCGCGGGTCGGGGGGAAGAAGGGGCTCGTCTTCCTCCGCCAGGGCGCGGTCGCGCCTCCGGGGCGAGCCGGAGTGAAGCGGACGCCGCGCCCCGCAGAGCCGCTTCCTTTCCCCCTGCCCCGGCCTGTCGCCCAGCCGCCTGCCCCTGCCCCGGCTGTAGCTTTTCCCCGCCCTGCTCGGGAGCACCTTCAGTCTCCCTCCTTCCCCCTTTCCTCTGGGGCTTCTGCAGCGTTTGCCCCGCTTTGGCACTCCACCGCCAAGCGCTGGGGCTCATGGTACGGCTTTGCAAAGCCTATTAGCCTGATTATGAAGTGGGCAAAATCATGGTAGTGTCCCAGCACGACAGAAATCTTGTACTGTAATGTCATTTTAAAAAAAAATGATTTAGTAGTGACTTTATCAAAGCAAGACTCAGTATTTCAGTGTGCGGCAAACTGAATTTGGCTAGGTTGAGATGAAAATACAGAGTAGCAACAGCTCAGATGGTATCCTAACAGTGGTATCCTGTTAAGGAAGGGGTTGAACACAACAGCGAGCGTGTTAGTTCTTAGGAGGGCATCTTTAACATTGTTCTTACTTTGTGCAACTGGTAGACCTGAAGTGGATGACTGTCAAGGCATTTGGTTGTGCTCATCAGCCCTGCTTTGAGCTTGGAGTTGACAAGTGGGAATTTGCAATGCCCCTGAGCGGTGAGAAGCAGGCTGATCTCTAGCTCTTTGGAGCTCATGAATAAAAAGTTAATGCTCTGCAACCAGATTCATAAAATGCCTTGCTTTCCTATGCCATGCCAGAAGCAGATACTTAAGCTTATAAAGAAGCATCTAATAGTGCTTAAATGAATCGGGAGAGTAAAGGTCAGCTAGCCTTTATTGGGGGATAATTGGGTAGGATCAATAGATAATCTAGTGTAGATTTTTGAGGCCAAGGAAAGTGTTTGGCATAACGGAATGGGTATATCATAGGGTGTGAAAGCTATCCTTCCTTAGCTTGGTTGCATTAATTGGAAAGCTTTTGGGTTTGTTTGCTTTCATTTGAGTTTTTATTTTTTGGCTCTCCACTTTATTTCCAGCATGGCTGCTAGTGACTTGTCAGTTGAAAACCAGCATGTTTTAGCCTGAGAGAAATTGTTATAGGAGATGAGAAACTATACACAAGGCAATACTCTCCCAGTAAGTGAGAGAAGCTCTTGGAAAAGCAGAGAGGAACTGCATGTGTTTGTTTTTGGGGCTCTTCGTCCACTTCCTTGCTACATTGGAGCAGTAGGCAACAATAAAAACGAGAACACTTTTAAAACCTTAAGTACTCAAGGTGATGAAATCTGATGTTGATAGCTGGTCTGCTGTGATTATCATGCAAAGCAGAGGTATTATCATTATTTATTCTGTTAACTTGGAACACTAGTTTTATGTATGTATTTATTTATTTTTAAATCCTGTGTGCTGTTGGCTTTTTTTAGTAGAACCCCTTCAGCCTAATTAAGGACAAGTACTATGTAATGTACAGATAAAGGAATGGCTGCAAGGAAATAACTTATTAAAAAGAAAATTAGCAAAGTAATTTCCTGCCCTTGAGTAGCTGTTACATTTTTTTTTCTTTCATCCAGTGGTACCATGGATGAGTAATGAAGACAACTTGGTGTTTTGAAAGGGAAGTGACATTAAATGCACATAAGTAATCTTCGTGTGCTTTAAATACTGGCAGCTGTTTGGGAGCCTGTCTGCTCTGGGTCATCTATTATTGCTAGAACTGGTGGAATTAACACATGGGCAGGGACAATAGAGAAACAAAAGCCACAAATAACCTTGTATGGAAAAAAAATCGAGCACCAGTGTAATCAGAAGGGCCACTCAGAACTTGGGATTCATACTAGAGGTTGTGAACTACCCTTCTGCTATGTGTTGCTCCCTCTCAACAAAGCACTAATCATAAACGAGATGCCGAGTATTACTTGGGTTTTTGAGAGATTCAAGATGAATAAACCTTTGATAAACACAAAGAACCTGTTCTTTTGACACGTGATGGTTTTCTTCTGTATGGTAGAGATGAAGGGGCGCACATACAACCTACGTACAAAAGCGCTTGCTGCATTTAATAGCAGTTAATCATTTAAATGAAGTATTAAGTTGCCTGAAAGTCACACGGTTTTAGTTGAAATGGTCACGCTTATACCACAGTATCTCTCTTAAGTGGTAGATCACACTATCTAAGTCACGGTGTATATCTCTCAAGTTAACTTAACACAGCTCTCAAGAAACAAAAAACAAAGTACACTTACAATTCATGTTTGACTTTTCTGCAGTAATAGGATGAGATTTTCAAAAGAGAAATTCAAGAGTACTACACAGATGAAAACAGAGTATATTTGTGTGTGTGAACTCTGGTTACTAAGTTTGAAGTCTTCCAGATTCTCAGCTGTTTTCTGACAACAAAAGTGTGTGTTTATTGAGCAGTCAGTAAAATGGAGATTGGTCACTTATGATACATCACAGAATTAGAGTCGTATTACATATGTCCTTGTATTACCTCCTGTGACAGTCTTCTCTGTTACTATGATGGTTTCATAATGTTGTGATCAATTCATAATAAGATGCAGTTAACTTTGAGATCATAGAGTTGGATATGCCTTGATCAAGTGTTTAATTTACGTTTCTAAAGTTCTGTCTTGTTGGCTATCCCATCTGACAGGGGTCAGGATCAGATGCCATGAAGAGGGCGTAAAAACTTTGCAGGAAGCGGATGTGGAGTAATCTGTCTCAAAACTAGACTGAGTCACAACAGGGTGTTAGCTTGAATCACTGTAGTCCAGCAAAAAGTAAAACAGCTGAATTGCCAAAATAGTGAATTGTCTTCATGGTGGATAAAGAGAACAAACAGATTGAATGAATATATTAGTTCACCAATTCCTTGGTGAGTGAAGTAGGGAAGTACTCATTGTTCATAAATGTACCTTCTTCTGTCCCTCTTTCATCAGTAAAGATGGCATTAATGGAGGGTTGGGAGATCCCAATACCTATATGTGTATGCTACTTTTATTTACTTTTACTGAAGAATGCAGCCTCCTAGAGGGAGCACATGAGGTTTTGATGTGGAAAAAATGAAGCCTTGCCTCAGAATAGGTGTAATAGCTAGCACTTAAAATGGGCCCCTACTTTTTTTTTTTTTAAGTGGGGGTGGGGAAGGGAATTTAAAGGATTTGGTGTAGCAAGTGAACACAGGCTGACAAAAAACTTAATTAGGTCCTTGTGTAAGAAGCTAATGGAATAAAGGACAAAACTAAATAAAGCAAGGATGTGTGCAAGAGGTAAGGGTTTTTGTGAGTGATTTATCTTTTATTGGACCAACTGCTTGGCCAGGATAGACATAGATGAGCTTGCAAATGCAATTGATAGAAATTCATTCGAAAGTTTGTCTACATCTATCCCAGCCACGCAGTCAGTCTGATAAGATAAATGCCCACAGAAACCTTTGCTTCTTGCTAAATGAAACAATATTTTTGAAAGACAAATGGCAAAGACCACAAAGCAGATGAGCTCTGTCAAGCTCCGGGAAATGTGCAGGAAAAAACAAGGGTGTTTCAGAAGCTAGCAGAAATTTTGAAATAAAACCATTTTGTGTACAGTGATCACTTTATTGGATCATATCACTTCTCTTCATATTCTCCCTACTTTGCAATGCTGTAAATGTATACGTTTCTGGATGCCATTCTCAAAGAACTCTTCAGGTTGCTGTGACAGCCACTTGTGGACCACAAGTTGCACCTCTGCATCACTGGTGAATCTGCACCTTCAAAGGGCCTTCTTCAGTGGTCTGAACAAGAGATAATCAGTTGAAGATTGTTCTTTACAGCAGGTGTGGTCTATGCAAACTCCTGACAGGCATCCATGCACTGGGTAGCTGCTCATCTTCATGCTGGAGAAGAACACCTTTCTTGAGCTTCCCACACTGGTCCTAATAGCTGACTTCAGGTGGTGTTGGAGAACATACCAATAAGTGTTGCTGTTGATTGTGACCCTCTGCTCCATGAACCAGACAGAAAGTGGTCCTATGCAGTCCCAAAATGGGATGAGAAGACCTTGAGTGCAGACTTTTTTGGTGGTGGCAATGCTGTACATTTTTAATAGCCTTCTCTGCCCTTTGCTCTCACAATTGTAATGGTGGACCCAGGCCTCTGGTCCCCAGTGGCAAGTGAGAGCCCCTCACCTTCATCCCATACATCTTGTAGAAGTACACACTTTGACATGTCATTTTATGCAATCAGTCAGTTGCTTTGGCACACAATGGGCACAGACTTCAGTAGTTTGGATGATGGTGTGAAATGGCATGGATGCTGCCAGCACTTATACCTCCTTCTACCATTTGTTCAGGAATGCTCACTCACCTATTTGCATGTACAGCGGGGGTTGACATTAGCAGTGTTGTCCTCCATAGTGGCTGTCAGATTGACCTGCTTGGGTTTCATTTGCTATGGATATGCAACTGTTCGTGAACTTTTCCACCTGTACACAGACCTTCTGTTAAGCTGTACAGTTCTTAGCATATTGTACTATAGGCCTATGGTGCTGCAAAATGGATCCATTTGATAATGCTACCATCAGGGTTCCCTGCTGCTGTGTAGTTTCTCACTTTGTCTCAGACATATGGTGTGGGTAGCCATTTTACTGTCAGTTTCTGAAACACCCTCCATGGTGAAGACTTGGTACTATATAGTTGAAACAGAAGAAACTTGAGGATGAGATTTAGCTTTGCTTGAGCTCATGCATGCATGCTTGCTTGCTTCCAAACTAGACTGGAGTGCCAGCAACCTTTG